TTTTCACTTATTAAACATTCCATGTTTAATTTTTAATACAATCAAATATTTAATCTATGTATGATAAACTGTTTTTTTTTCATATTGGTTTTAAAAAAAAACTGATACCGATAAAACCAATATTGCCAATATCGGCCGATAATCGATATCGGTTTATATATCGGCCCAGCCCTAAATATAAGTATACAATGAAAATAAAATTTATAAAATTAAAATTATTTTTATTTATTCGATTATATATGCTTTAAAAAAATCAATTCAGAATTTGTATTTAATAGTAAAATTGTACATATACTTTATTATTATATATATTATACTCTTGAAGTCTTTCTTGATTTGTTTAACTCATTTCAATTTTATGCTACAAATTTCTCTTATTGTTCTGATTAAACTTTTACTGTCATATCTCAAGAAGATTTGACTATAAAATCTAATAATTACTCATGAATAGTTAATTTAATTTAACTCATGACCCTGATAATTCAACTAACTATAAAAGCTGCAATTTCCACGCCAAAATACTACTATACAGTATACCGAGTGATTCTTTTATCATTGAACACTCATTATTTCAAAAATTATTAATGTTTTTGAAAATATTTTTTTACATAGTTTCAAGTTGTTCAAAAACCAACGTTTTTATTAAAAAATTWTATTTTWAAATATTTTTTATCCTTATAATTTTTTAAKTWTTTWACTTTTTTGAATGACAACATAGAGTTTTAATTTCATATTCCAAAGCAGAATATTTTTCTAAGTATTTTGATTCATAAAAATTGAATTTAAGACGAGTAGTTTATGAGTTTAGATTGGCAGAGTGGAGTGGTACGGGGTTAATGTTTGTCCACTACTCCGCTTGTCTAAATTTTAAATACTTAGAACTTATAAACTACTGAACTTAAATTTGATTTTTATGAATCAAAATATTAAGAAAAATATTCTGCTTTGGAATATGAAATTAAAACTCTATGTTGTCATTCAAAAAAGTTAAAAAATTAAAAAATTATAAGGATAAAAAATATTTAAAAATATAATTTTTTAATAAAAACGTTGGTTTTTGAACAACTTGAAACTATGTAAAAAAATATTTTCAAAAACATTAATAATTTTTGAAATAATGAGTGTTCAATGATAAAAGAATCACCGAAATATTATAATTGTTATGATCATCACAATTTTCAGCTTGATATATTATTTACCCCTGAATGTTTTGTATTTAATGAATAATGAGCAATAATTGGCCTCTAGTGTAAAAAGAAAAGTATTAAAACAAATCTACTTGAGGATTAAATGTTTATATTTTTATTAAGATATATTTTAAGAAAAAAAATATATATTGTATTTAAAAATAATGAGTAAAATGTGTATAATAAAATATATATAAAAGCTTTTATTTAAAAAATTTCAATAACTATATTCTTCTTCATGGTATACTKTCCAATCTTGAATACAACCATCTCCATCTGCATCATACTGTTCTCCTAATTTCTGTACACAACTTTTTATATCAATTTTCAACTGTTCAGGTAATTCCATTTCATCAATTGCTGTACTATTAATATTGTTAGCCAAAAGTCTTGTTGAAATAGTGTATTTGCAAAGTTCTTGTAAAGTATATAATGGAGTATTAATTTTAACTACTAGTGGAGGACGTTCATATTTTTGGTAATGAAAAATCTCTTTCCCGTTTCCTAATAGATATCTTTTTGTTATATGGTCAAAAAATTTCCAAGTAGTATTTACATATTCAGGATCATCAATATGATATTCAGGTTCATCATATAGCAAACAAGTTTCACATTTATAATTTTCTTCATATGGTAATTTCTTCCATATATTAATGTCTGAACCAATGCAATTTACAAATTTGATGCCTCCTTCATCTTCTCCCATATTCTAAACATTCAAACATAAATTATTTATAATATTGTTATAGTCAATATATCATAATATTATTAAACAGTATCTGGTTAGTTTTTATCTCATTTTTATTTTTCTGGTAGTTATTCAAATTTTACTAGAGACTTTATTTACTAAAATATAAAGAACATGTGTTTAATGTTCATTAATTGTTCCTATTTTGATAATAAAAAAAATCAATTGTGTAAATGTTAATTTTTTTTTATCAGTGTATCAGACATAAGTTGTAAGTTAATTTAAATTATAATTTTCATTTTTTTATGCTCTTACTTGATGAATTTAAATTTATTACAAAAAAATGTATAATAAACAATATAAAGTACCTACTTCCTACACTATTGAACACGTCATTAGGTAATACCTATAGGCATATATGCCGTGTTGCATATAAAATATATAGTAATTTAAAAAATATAAAATTCGATTTTTTATTATACTTACCAATTACCTTTCACTGAGAACTTTTCAACATAATCATTTGCAATTTAAAAGAAAAAATATTTTACTTTCAATTTATGAAACATAAACTTAAAGTCTTAAACGTTAAACTATTAATTTAATAATTTATTGTCTTGTTTTTTATTAATGCCATTTTTTATTTATTGATAAGATACAAGTCTCAGATAATACATCCGAGACTCCGCGATTTAGGATACCTTATGAATTTTGTCTACAAGCACGGACTACTACACTGGACTGGAAACGTCATGGGAGGCGGGTGACGGGGTAACGGGACGCTTAGTGTCCGCGAGAGAGGTGTAGAGAGAGGAATAAGTACGTGAACTWATCTAGCGCTACCTGGTTTACCACAGGCTTACTATACTTTCAAACGAATATATAATATAGGATGATACGACAAACGTATTAAACTATAACTTATATATAACTAATTAATAACTGCATTATTATTTATTATTTATTTTTAATATTATAAAATAATAGTTTCATACACGTCATTGAATACATTTAATATATTTTTTTATTTTTCTGAACGATATTTACAATATTTGTCACCAATAATTACTGMATTTTAAAGCTTAATTATTAATAWGGCAACAWTTTTAAAAAAWTAGGGTAATTTGTCAGTATAATTTGTTTATGGTGATGACTGATAAATTATCTTTATMTTTAGAATTCGAAATGTTCGGATGTAACATAATATACGATGTGTAATAATATGTTAGTCAGTGATTTTCATAATATAATATAATATATATTATGTATAAATGTAGGTCTATTTGGCGGGAATTCAATATTTGGTTAGTGGTTTATCATTGAAGTATAGATGGCGCCAGATTAGCTCATGTACTATTTCCCCTTACTAAAGTAAAGATCGTATTATTCTTATAACTATATTATACATTTATACTGATCTACATCGCGATACTATCGTAGCCCGTAGGTTGTGCGTTTTGTTATGCAAAAGTGTAACAAAATAATATAAAACGTAAATATCAACTCATTTATTTACGATCTACCTTCTAGATTCAGAAAATTACAGTTATTTACAAAATTAATATATTTATATTTTTGAATTTTAATGTATAAAGCAAATGAACAACAAAATATATTGATGTGCGTTAACAATTCAGAATAATTAAAACAAATGTTTTAAACCCAATAGTATATAATATCTTAAGATTGTTTCAATGATTTTAATCATACCAATAGTTTCATACAAGCCCAGGATAGGACCTAAGACGATCCCCTCTTCATCAATTGAAACAATTCTTAAAGATTATTGAAATATATTTCTTAAACTTAAACATTTTTAATTTAGTATGATCAAAACATTAAAATATACAATTTTTATATTATAATATTATATAAAAATAAAATTAATTATTTTTTGCAAAACTTTTCTTGCTTTGTATGTATCAAATGCTTTTAAGGTTTTACCAAAGCTTAAATTCTGTGAACATATTGTGTAGACAAAATTAAATCATTAATGTTGAGTGATGGCAGATTATCCTATTTTTGTTAAGATAGGAGTTTGAAATTAAAAAAAAATTGAACTAGAGGTTCTGAACACCTCTGTAGTTGTACCACTGTCTTATGTGTTTATGTATTATCATTTACTGTGTTAGAGTCAGTCGTGTCGCGTACACATTGAAATATTCAATGAAAAGGGTTATACATAAAAAATATACCTATGCATTGTATGTAAATATAAAATTATTTTTTAAATTGTATTAATTGTTTACATTTATACATGTACTAAAAAATAACATAAGGCCAGTGTAGGGATTACATCCAACCCCCCTCCCCCCTGTATATACTACTGGTATTTAATTGTTTAAGTATTACAATTTTAACCCTAACAATTATAGGCATATATCATAGTATATAATAATTGGAATGTTGAATTTTCAAATATAGATTGTTGTCTGTTAATTGTTGGCCAATACATAGACACAAATACAAAACTCATATATTCATAAACCAATATTGTGACCATATGTTAATATTTTAATTTTAAAAATTATTTATGTGATAATTTATAAACTTGCTTATTTATATTTTGCAGTCACCCTTGTTGTTGTTATTTTTGGATTGTGTTTGGCAATTACTTCAACAATTTCCTGCAAAATTTGAATTTACCGAGACCTATTTAACCACACTTTGGGATGCTTCACATGTTTCCATATTTGATACATTTTTATTTGATTGTGAACGGGATCGTCACTGTGCTACTAAGGTTTGAATATTATATCGAATTAATAATATATCTAAGTTACAAAATAATCTTACACAGGATGTTAGTCCACTAATGTTACGATCAATTTGGGATTGGGAGGAACAGTTTATGGATCATGATTTAATTCAATTTCATAATCCTCTTTACAATGCCTCTAAAGTTAAAGATGATCTACTAAAAGTATCAACAGAGATTTCTTGTCTTAGTATTTGGACTCAATGTTACTATAGGTTTTTGCCTACTCTAGAAATATCAAATGGAGGTAAACCACTAGTAAGTGTCATATTTTGTTTACGTAAACTTTTAAAATAATTAAATTAAATTTTTTAATCTTAGGAAGATTTTGCTGTCAGAACTATAATCAGTATGAATGATAATGATTCTAAGGATACTCGAGAAGTCTGTACACCATCTAACATTGGATCTTTTTATCCATTTACACATTGGAGATCTAGTAATTCAGTTCCACCATCAACATTAACAATCAGCTCTTTATCCTTAAACACTAGTGATTTACAAATGGAAACATCGCTGGTTGAAATACCCGAACACCTATAAACAGCAACAAACTATTTTTCATATTAGTTATTCTGATATTAAAATACGTAGTTCATCAATGTGCTTGTTTTTGGCAGGTTATTTACATGTATCATATAAGGCTAATTTTAATACCACTGGTAACCATATAAAATAAATTAATATTGTACAATACATTTTGATAAACTAACATATAGTAACTAATTCAATTGACACAATTTCTAATATAATACACTTGCAATTATTATTAATGAAAAATTAGTATTATTGAATGTTAAAAATATATTTATATTTTATTCCAATTTATTTATTTTAGCTGAAAATGAATCTAGCAATGTGTGTTGTTACCTAACTTCTGTTATTAATATGATAATTTATTTTTAAAACTACTTTTTACAGTTTAAATTTTAAAATATTTTATTATTGTAAAATACATTGTGTTATTGTTAAGTTTACTTTTAAACACTGTTTAAGTATTAATTTGTTTAAAAAAGTATTGGTACAAAATGTGTAATAGAATCAAAATGTGATATATTATAATAAAAACTTTACAGGAGATATGATATTTAAAATTTAAATAAAACTTATGTACACCCACTGATTTCTTATAGAAATCCAATATTTCATACTATTATAATATTTGAAGTCAATGATAGAAATTGACATTAAAAAAGATAATTATGTATGCAAAAAAATGAAAGAAAGATTGTAAAACCCAAATAACTATTAATTGCTTTATTTATATTCTATAACTAATAAGTTTATCATATGGTGATTAATTACTGAAAGTACCTTGTCCTCCATATGATAACAATTTTTATTACTGTTTGTATAGTTTTAAATTTATCCAGTCTTGATAACCATAGATGTTGCGCAAATATTTCATTTATGGCAATAATGTTATCTAACATAATTCAATGCCATACTCGCCTTCGTGAAATAAATTTTAAACTTCTATTTCACTAGATACATTTCTCTATTTTTTGTTCGGTTTTTTCTTATTATTCTAATTATGTATTAAATTCCCCTATTCATCGTCTTATGCAAATTTCTAATGAAGCAGCTTTTAATTCTCATAAACAAATTTGTTTACTGGATCTTTCTTAACATTAATATCTATACTTGTAATTATATTACTAATTATCATTAGTTTAATTGTAAATATTTATTATATATTTCACATTGTTTTGGGCTTCAGCCTATATATTATTAAAATAAAATAATAATCAAACAATATATTATATCTTTCAAAGTTATTTCCACAATGGTAAATTTTAAATCAATCAGTTTCCATTTGTCCTGAAGATGATGATGCATCAGATTCTGAAGATTCTGAACTCGAGTCATCAGTCGACATATTATCATCAGAGCTGTCTGAATTCACAGTTTTTAAAATATCATCATTGCAAATCACATTCCATTTTTTTAACTTTTTGATGTCTAAAATTCATATTGAAATGCAAATTATGTATTAAGATATTCTACATTGAATCATAATAATATAATGCTGTTCTTACCTAATGAATAAAAGTCATTAAGTGTTAGTGTTTTTGAGCCTTTTTCAACAATTCCACCATAGACAAACAAAGTATTATGTTTAAATGCAAGTCCACTATGTGATCGCGGAGTTGGTTTCTCTGAATTGATCAAACTTTGAGGTTCTTCAGATGTTAATTTGTTCGGTTGTTCTTTAACTGAAACTGAAATTAACCATCAATAAAAGTAATTATGTTATATTATTGTATTACTACTGTTATGTACTTAATCTCCAAGTGGGTGTATTTTGTTCCAAATCTAACATATATAAATCATTATAGAATGTACTAGTTAAATCGTCTTCTCCCTCTTCTTCATCATAAACACCTCCAAATATATATGCCTTATTATGTCCAGAGATTGGTGAACCAGATAAACTACAACGAGCAGTTGGTAAAGAACCAGCTTGTTTCACTTTTGACCAACGATAATTTGAAAAATCTGTATCGCCTTCTAAAAATCAGAATCATGATAATTAAAGATAGTAGAAAATTTATAGTATATTGTTTCTATATATCCTAATAATATAAACATATGTCATATGTTTTTAAGTTAGGAAAATCCTATTTTTAGTTATTCTTTTTAATAAAAAAAAATCTTAAATAAAAAGTAACTGCAGATTTCTTACATTATTTATGGTTTATAACAGACATGGAAGTTTTAAAGTACTCCTCTCCCTAACTTATGCCAATGATGAACTAATTTGTTCTTATATTTTAATTTAGTTTAATCCAAAATTCTATAATTAATATTTATAATTTTCTTTGATGGATTTTCAACAAGGACTGTTTGGTTCATCTGTTTCTGTATTTAGATAATAATTGCAATGTTAAAAAATGAGTATTCAACTCTTAGTAACACAACAATAACATATAATTAATAACTGAAAACTATTGAATATACATAATACATCATTCACAATGTGTAGGTATTGATCATTTATCTTTTTTAGTTAAAATATAAACTTACTTTCAGGAGTCAACATGTACATATCAATTAAAATTGTTCCTTTGTCATAATCTTTTTTTACTTTTTCTTTATAATAACCACCATATACTATAATTCTACCATCCTCCATAGCAAACATTTGACAACCAGATCTTGGTGAAGGGGCTTGTCCTAAAAATAATTTATTATAACCTTTTTAATTAGAAAAATACACAAATATTTATCATACCAGAAGTTTTGATAGTTTTCCATTTATAGTCAGCTAAACTGAATGCATATAAATCATTAAAATATTGATAATTATGAGTATTATCCTGAAATCCGCCAAATAATACCAAATGACGTTTGCTAAGTACCATTCTGTGCCCACTACGACCGCAAGGTCCTCCTTCAGCCCTAAATATTAAATTATTAAAATAACTGAATATCCATATTTACCAAACATCTGAATATTTATAACACATTTATTGCCATGTGGACATCAGTAATTCTCAAATTTTATAAGAGTCTGTCATGCCAACGCTCATAGTTGATCATTACTACCACCACATTTTTACAAGGCCTAACCTAACCTAATCGTAAATGAATATGATTTTATATCATTAATGTTATACTAGGTAATTGTGTAGGTGTAGCAGGAATCATTACGTTTTTTTTTATGTGATTAATAAATTTTTTTGAAATATAATAGTAACTACGAATTTGGAATGACCATTGAAAGGTATACTTTGTTTACCGACAATACATATTGATTGACCGTATCGGTTAATGCAACAATTACATTTTCTTAACTAAGTGAGAACGATGATGCAAACATAATTTACATGATTATTTATATAATTATATTGTCAGTCACACCAGGCACCTAAGAGATGCAGTAGAAATATGAAATTGAATGTGATCAAAATCTTAAATAGGGTCCTTGGTGGTTATTTAAATGAAATACTTAAATTTAAATATTAACATACAATATTTATAAAATTAATATGAATCACAAGAATCCTAATCTATGTAAAAAATTTTAAATATGCATAAAAAATAAAAAATTTGTGGGTACTATTTTTAAACTAAATTTGACACTAATTTTTGCTGTACAATTAGTTTTTGAAATATGACAAATTTAAATCTGAAATGTTGTAGTGAAATAGATTTCACTAAGGCTACAATATAATCTAATTATCATATTAATAGTAAAGAGTTTATGACTTACATAATTTTTGTCCAATTTCGATTCTTTAGTCCAAAAACCCATAAATCATTATAATGATAAAATTGATATTCTGAAGGACTAGCAAATTCTCCACCAAAAATCCACAACTGTCCATTATCTACAGCAACACTTACTGCAGAGTGAGATGATCTAGAAGGTGGTGCACCAGGAGCATCCACTAACGTCCATGTATTATGACTAATATTATAAAATATTAAATCGTTGTACATTATCGTCTGTAAGTAAATGTGTTAAATAATCAAGTTTTACTAAGAAAAAAGAAAATTATATTATATTCTAAGCATTTTTGTTCTAAATATTAAAATATTTAACTACAAGTTAACTTCTGGGAAGAGTGATATAAGTGTAGGCATAATAACCTAACCTAATGTCTTTTTTTTTTTTAACACTTAGAGTAGTAAACATTATGCACTTATTAACCTAAATTTGCTATCATAATATATTTAAAACATCAATTTTTTTGATATTTATACATATATGTTTATTGAAACATATAAACACAATTAAAAAAAAAAGGTGGGGTAAGTCGTGGATGTCGTTCTGCTGTACAGTAGGTTACAAGTGGGTTACTGTGATGGATGGAATTAAATTTGATTTCAATGATATTATATCATTGTATACGAAAAACRATTCTGAGCRAAGACGGTATATCTGTCTAGGATATATTATAGATTATAAAAAATCATATCTTAGATTTAAAATAAATTTTTTTTATGAATTTCTAGCATAAAATAATTTGAACACTGCCGTAATTTTTACGTATTTAGTCAAAATTCAAACTTTGAATGCTTGTAAAAAAAAATTGTCATTACGCATTTCTTTTATTTTTGAATTGCTATTGTAAAAATATGATAGGAGGCATGTATTAAATTTTCAAATCTTAGATATAAAAGAAACATTTTTTATAAATTTCTAGCATAAAATAATTTATGAATTTTCGTGGTTTTTATGTATGTTTGTCAAAATTCAAACTTTGAATCCTTATAAAAAAAATTGTGAC